CAAAGGTGAGTGGTAGTGGTTGGGGGGCAGAAAGTGAAGACAGAAGCAGACGACAGAATATGGTTAGAGAGCAGGAAAGGATGTGAAAAGAGAAAATTTTAGAAAAGAAAATGTTCCGTCGATATCCGGATTCGAACCCGGGACCTATTGAATGAAAGGCTGGCGTCGGACACCTTAACCTCTAGATCACTAGAGGCCCCTTGGTTTTGATTAAAGATCTCTCACACCGGGCAATCTAAAGCACATCCATGCTCGTCGTACAGTCTGTATAAAAGACTTGTCATTTTAATACTAGAATTAATTGTTGTAAGAGGAATTAACAAACTGAACTATATTATTCGTTAGTCAAAACCTTTACCTGTGGCGACGTTTCTTCTCGGCCCATCAGTTTCTCCGGTTCCAGCGGTTGTAGAAGTCGTTCCGGTTGCGCTAGATTCGCTGGTTCGAGTACTTGTCGAAGACTCGGTGGCTTTATCATATCCGCTGTTGCTAGAAGAACCGCGGGTTCCACTAGACTCGTCCGATTTATCAGATACACCTGTTTCTTTAAACCAGTCGGTTCTTTTGGATCCGCCAGTCTCTCCAGATTTATCGGTCCTACCGGACACTCCTGAATCCTTGTTTCCTGTATGCGAAGATAATGAAACTATGCTCTTATTTATTTCTAATTTTTTGTTTCTTTTTTGTTTTGTTCAGTTTTGCTGTGTTTGTTTGTTCGTTTGTTTGTTTGTTTGTTGTTGTTGGGTTTTTTATGTTGTAGTTGTTTTTTTGTTGCTGTTTTTGTTTTGGGTTTCGTTTGTTTTGGGAGCTAAAGATTTTACTTTTTTTTAATCTAAATATTTTTCACCATCTTTTTTGGAAAAAGATGAATTTATTACTAAAGAAATAATCATTACACAAAACAAACAAACAAGCAAACAAACAAACAAGCAAATATTCACTTACGTATAACGTATATCGCCTTACGAACTCACTGACTACCTCATGCCTGCTCGTGGGTGGTTGGAGGGCGCCACTGATAGATCCTACTTCTTTACTTTCCCTAGGTTGTCTCTGTCTGTCTGTCTGCCTGTCTGTCTGTCTGTCTGTCTGTCTGTCTGTCTGTCTGTCGATCTGTCTGTCTGTCTGTGTGTCTGTGTGAGTGGTTGGAGGGCGGTACTGATAGATCCTTCTTCTTTACTTTCCTTCCATTGTTTCTGTCTGTCTC